CTCTGTCAGTTTAAATATTTTTGTTAATACATTCACAAGATCAGGGTTTAAGCTGATGTAGACTGGAGTAACTCCAACATCCTCCATAAGGTTAAGCTGATTTATATCAGCTGAGGATGCAATTCACACAGTTCAGCCTCATGCTCTTCGGGGTCACAAAATTTGAAACCTTGTATGACCCAGCATGTGTGGTTATTCACCCCACTAAGCTGCTTACTATTCAGAATTAATTGTTCTGCTTTAAGGAACACTTCCTGCTGAAATGGAAAGTTAAAAATTAATTACCCTAATGATCAAATACACCTAGGAAAGGACATGAGTTTTAGGCAAACAATTGTGTGTAACACAGTGTGCTCTCTATGCTACTCTAGGAAGAATGCTTTGAGTCAATCATTAGAATAATTTATATCAACTATTATAATCAGCTATGCAAATTTCAAMCATCATAACCACCACTGCATGTTTTATTTCAGCACTGCTTTGAAGAGAGGACTGGGATCCTCAGGCAGAGGTTGTTTGGGGTCCTCAGTGGCTGAGGCACCCTGACAAGAAGACAGGAAACAGCTGAACTTGTGCAGTGCAGAAAGGGATGCACCTGCTAAAAACACCTGAAAAATTAAAAAAAAAAATTTAAAAAAAAGAAAAAAAAAGGAAAAAAAAAGATGAGGGAGGCAAAGGTCGCCTCTTCTTTTCATGGTCTGTAACTTTGGTAGTGCAAAAATATGGACATGTTGTGAGTAACTTCTGTCCGTGTCTCACTTCACCCACCTGCACTATTGGTGTGACACTGCCTCCCTATTTCACTTCTTAGCTGCTTATTTAGCAGAGGTTTAGGTGTCTGACTCAGCTTGCCTGAATAATATATGCAAAAGAAAAACAATTAAAAATTCAAGAAACCTGAATAAATGGTCCTAAGAAATTAAAATGTAGAATTATTGTTGTGCAGTGGTTTTTCAGACACCTCCACCRACAGCCAGAATAGAAGTCCCTGCAATAATAAACCTTCAGTTTCTCTACAAAGAGACTCCTGCATTAGCACTTGGTCCTGGATGAGGAGAGGGCTCTGAAAGCCAAGTTTCCACAATTAGGACTGCTTTTTACTCAAATTAGCAGCTATACAATTTCATCACGGCCTGCCATGGTGGAAAAAACTGTAGGCTTATGGACAAACATTTCCTTTTAGCAGTGAGGACTTGGAGGTAAGAGAGAAATCACAAGGAGCATCATGTGGGAAAGACTATGAGCAAACTTTCTCTTTTTACTTTTCCAGTTTGGGAGCCAAACTCTACCCTGATGTAACTCCACTGGCTGAAAGGACTYACACAGGGGATGACTCCTGCGTTAAAGTTTTTGGTCTGCAGACTCCTGCACACAAATCCTATAAAGAGCCATGAATGTCAAACCTAATTATGGAATCACATTTACAGGCTTATGAAAACCTAAGCCAGGTCCTTATACCTTATGAAGACATGGACAA